GAGAGAGAGAGAGAGAGAGAGAGAGAGAGAGAGAGAGAGAGAGAGAGAGAGAGAGAGAGATTGGGCGGAGGCCAGGGAGACTTACCTGCAGCGCCATAGCTCCAGCTTCGTCTTCGAGGTACCTGCAGCACAGCGCCATCTTCACAGGTTAGTACCTGGCACATGAGAGAGAGAGAGCGTTCTTCTTCTTCCTCTTCTCAGTCCACCATCTCCCTCTCACCCTCTCGCTACCTGACTTCACCGCATCAGCAGACTACGAGAGAGCGGGCTTGGTGACATTTGGATCCAGACTCGAGATTGGGTTTCAGACATTTGGACTTGTACCGAAGACTTGGTGTTGACGACATTCCTATCTTCCCCCTTCTTCTTCGTCTGATCGCCTCCTCTTCGTCTGTGTATGGTCTGGACCTGGCGCATTCTTCCTGTGTGTAGCGCCAGGCCCCTTCACACCATGTGATGAGGATGATCTATGTTTGGGCTGTATTGCGACATTGATTGAACTAGTCATTGGTATTCTAGCATTCTGCTGCGCTGTCTTGTACTACGTGAGAGAGGTCAGTCCCGGTCAGGTCAGGGCTTATATCTAAGTCTACCACGGCGCTATTATATGCCATTTTTGTATGTATCAGGATGTACACTGCTTGTTGAGATTCCACTAGCACTGCATTGTCCATTCCGTCCTTTTCATCACATTGCCGATCCTTGGCTTTACATACATTTCCCAACTGGGCATGTAACAGGCTCTGTCCCATGAACCCCCTAACCCCCCACCTACCATCACCCTCAACAGCGCCACAGACCCATCCTCGCGCCACAGACCCATCCTCGCGCCACAGACCCATCCTCAACACCAGTCCCTCTCGACCCTCACTCCCCCCCTCGCCACCCCACACATCAGAGCAACCAAAAAGATGGAAGGAACGTAAGGGTTAGAGGGTTTAAGCATATTCCTCCGGGAACATTAGTCAGGATTTGGGGGGTCTACAGGACATAGCTAGGGTTTGGGGTTTAAGCACAGCCAACCGAGAGCAGTTTGGACTGGGCAATATGGAAAGATAAAGTTAGCAAGCCTCCATGGTCCAAACTCCAAAGACTAAACACAGCCAATCTTTCGCAGACGGGGTCAGGCAATACAGGACCGTTGCTTAAAAAAAAAAAAAAAAAAAAAAAAAAAAGACCCCAGCCTTGCCGTCCGAAACTTGTCATCACAAGAAAATGAGGCCGAAACGTCAAACGCTGGGCCCGCCGTTGATAAATTCGATCTGCGGCCGTTGATAAATTTGATTAGCGGCCCGTTTTCATTTCGTGCCTCCAGAATTTGAGGTCTCAGACCCGTGGCCCAGGTGCCCATGTACTGGTGGTTTAAACCGCCAGTTCAGCCGATTTTATTTTTTTTCCCCGAAGTCTTCAGAATGCCCCATTTGATATTCTCAACATTGCCCGGGAAAGGCAGTGGTGGTCACCGTGCTGGCGCTTCCAACCATTGCGGTCCGGTATTCCGAAGCCCTTAATCCACGGCGCGTTAACAGGGAAGTGCCGCGGCCGATAGCTGGGCCAAGTACTGGTGGTTTAAATTTGGGCCTGGGCTGAGTGTTGCTATTACCAGTTTAAACCACCAGTACTACTGAGGGACTCTTCTCTGATGCACGGCGAAAAAAATACAAACCAGTGCAACTTTCTTTTGGCTGGTGCAGCCAAACATTTTGCTCCGGTACCCTACTGGCTGGGAAAAGTATTAGTCTTAAAGCACACTCACACTAGGCCCTCAAACTCGCAAAATCACAAAATGAGCCGCCAGATCGAGTCCTTGTAAAGGAAGGACTAGATCTGGCCGCTCATTTTGGGATCTTGCTATTTTGAGGGCCTAGCATTTCGATTTGGGCCTGGCCGGTAGAGAGCGTGGCAGGCTTTGGAAAGGCGCACCTGGAAGATAGCGTCATCAACTTAGGCGTCTGTGAACCGGTGGTTTGAAGTGTTGGGACTTCTGTTGGGACGCTAGACCCGCCCGTTTCCAGCTAAAGCCGACGCTGAGTAATGCCCCTAGGTAGTATATACCGGGTATGAGGTACAGCAAAATTCCATTTCATTCCCGCTGGCCAGCTGCCTCGGCCAGCATTAGCAGAACCTTGGCCAATATTTTTGGGTGCTGTGCGACAACAGTATTATTGGCTATGAGACACCCCTAATATAGGCTAGGTGAGGGTGGCAAAAGGGGAGGTGTAGAAACTGGCCACGCTGCTCCGCACTTGATGACGGGTTGGTACAGCTTCGCCCTCACAGATGCAGCCGGTGTTCCCCCACTGGCGACGCCTGCCCATCCCCACAGCACCACGATGATGGACTGGTACAGCTTCGCTCTCACACTAACGCTATGGTGGTGGGTGTTCCCTGAGAGTGTACTCAAACTACAGAGATGAAGACAGGAGAACATGAAGAAGCAAAGTGATGATGGAGTTGGAGATGTGAAGGAAGGGAGCCAAGCAAAAGGAGAGGAAGTAGAACAGCTGGCAAGTTCCCAAGAATTTGACGATAGAAACAAAAACCAAGTCAAAGGCAAATTGAACCTTCCTCATGGAAACCTCTCTCTCTCTCTCTCTCTCTCTCTCTCTCTCTCTCTCTCTCTCTCTCTCTCTCTCTCTCTCCTAAACCTCTTTTCCACGCGGTTGCTGGAGAAATCCGAGAAGATAAATGTGGAGGAGGACAGCAGCCAACGTCCAGGAGAATTCAGCGACTGCCGATCTCTCCCTCTCTATCTACTTCCCGCATGCAGGAGCACACTCACACATTACATATGTATGGTGTCGTTCTTGCACAAGGTTTGTGCGAGAGTAGCATGGAATTTGGATAGTCAGGTCAACTCTCTCTCTCTCTCTCTCTCTCTCTCTCTCTCTCTCTCTCTCTCTCTCACACACACACACACACACACACACACACNAAAAAAAAAAAAAAAAAAAAAAAACAGGACCGCTGCTCCAACAGTAGAAAGAAGACCGCAGGTTAATTCCAGAACACACGGCGCAGTCTTCAGGTGTTTTCGCCCTATTTCAATTCAGGCCTGGGCCGGTAGCAAAGCCAGCAGGCCACTTTGAAAAGGTGCAGTTGCAGGCTTGCAAGCTTTGGAAGGTAGCTTCGTCAACTTAGGCTTCTGTGAACTGGTGGTTTAAAACACCAATTCATACGATCCTTACTCGATGGATCTACCTTCCAAGGTGAGTGAGCCTTCAACGGGCACTGTTGATCCACCTTCACTACCGTCCCAGGCCCGAACTGAAAAGCTCGTACCGCGTATACCGGTAAGGGCTAAAAAAAAACAAAAATAGATCTCAAGTGTAAGGACCTGAGAACACAGCTGATTTCTGATTTTTGCCGCTGGAATGAATGCCTTGCTGAGATTCCCGCCTGTTGCTGAGTTTTCTAAATCTGCGTGTGTGCGTGCTTGCTGGTCTGTGTGTCTGTCTGAGTGCTTGTCAGCCTGAGTGTGTGTGTGGCGGGACTTGTTTGTTTGGGAGGCCCATAGGGCTGGTACGTAGCTGTGGCCGTGACTTTGGGGTTGCGGCAGGGAAAAACACTCAAGTGGCCAAAGGGGTAGCTTAGGGGACACTCAAGGAGCGGTAGTGTAGGCCCGTAGGTACTTGAGTAGCGGTAGGCCGAGCAGAAGGCAAAAAGTCAAGTGTTTTTGGAGGCCCAGTAGGCGTTGGCTAGGTCTAGGTGGATACCAGGCCAAGTAGCCTGAGTCTATATGGACGATATCAGAGTCTGCAATGATGTTTCCCTCTGAAAGGGAGGAGGTACCGTTTGCTTGGAGGCTGCGCGGCCTGGAAGTCACTGCCCAAGAGGGCCGAGGCAGGTTGGCCGCTATATCTCCAGGAGGAGCAAAGAGCTCCTCCTCATTTTCTGGGTGCAGCTTTGCGGTCATGCTGCTGGAGCGCTGGATGAAGCAGCACTGGTGGTGTGCAGCACTGTGGGGGAGAGGAACACCCAGTTCTCCACCTCGGCTATGGTGGAGAAGCTCGGGTAGGAGGAGGAAGACGGGGACTAGGAGAGGGGAGCGCCAGGGGTACTTACCTGACTATAGTAGACGCCATCTCCATCACCTTGGTAGGCATTCCATCTGGAAGGCCCCAGTTGGGGTAGCGCTGCATCAAGAAGCTCGCGGCAGAGTCAGGCATGGCGGCCTAGCTGCTTTGCGTTGTCTTTTGCACGTCAGTGCAAGGCCCTTAGTAGTCTGCCATAGCCTAGGCCTGAATGAAGAAGAGAAAGGAGGGGGGGCACGGCTATGGTGGACCCCTTGTTGTGCTGGCAGTAGAAGAGGGATTCAGACATTGATTCTGGTTCAGCCATTCATCATCATTACTATTATTATTTATTGTTTGAACGAGAGAGTAGGAAATAAGGAGGAGGAGTTGGTTGGCGAAGAAGGGGGAATTATCATTGGTCCTTTGCTCGTGTGCATCTTCTTCTTTCTTCATTCTTTCTTCTTCTTCTTTCTTCTTTCTTCATTCTTTCTTCTTCTTCTTTCTTCTTTCTTTCTTCTTGTTCTTCTTCTTTCCCTCTCTCTCCTCTCAAGTTCATTCATTTCTTTTGCAACTGGTCGGCATCGTATTTCCTCATGAATTTGCACTTCGAAATTGGCCAGGATCGTAACATCAACTTAGGTTCAGGTGAACTGCTAGTTTAAGGGAATGCTTCTTTTTTATTGTGTGGTCATGAAAGACAAGTTCTGAAGCTTGTGTTTCTTTCCTTTTTTCGTCGCCTGTATACAGACCATTTGTTTACGATGACTGTCAGTGTCTTCCTTCCATGCAGTCAACTGAATGAAGAAGCCCAATTAAACCACCCGTACTCCCGAGGCACTTTTCGTGGGGGCTGGAGGCTGGAAATGCCCCTGCGCACCAACAAAAAAACGAAATGGTGCGGGCCTCCTTTTTTGGCTGGTGCTGCCAGCCATTTAGCTCCAAAGGCCGAGCCCCGAAAGTTGCGGCTGCATGCAAGCCACATATTTTTCTCATACTGGGGAAACGTACTAGTGGCTTAAAGCCTTAAACTACGAGTTGTTGAGACCCTCCTGGGGCGCCCTGACAGTTTTCCCATCACTTATGTATTGGGCCCGGCGCAGACAGGTCGGTAAATTAGCGGATCCTTTTTCAGAACCACTGGTGCTTTAAAGTTTAAACCACACAAGTACCTCGCCCAGGCAAGCGTAGGAATTGAAATCGAGCCGATCCGAAAATTTCGGAGGCTCGGGGCTTCCGGACCAAAAAGGCTGGCGCTGTCGGTCAAAACTTCTCTCAAAATACAGAAAAAAAATAAAAAAAAACGCTGCGCTGGCGTTCTGGCAAAGCTTCGCGTGCGGGGGTTACTGGTGGTTTAAACCAGCTTTGCCGGTATTTTGGCGTTTTGTCAAAAGCGGCAAAAAATAAAAATAAAAAATAAATGCCGCGTTGGCAGATCATGCGGCTGAACGGTACACATATGTAAGCATTTACGAATAGATAGATCATGAGTTCAAATCCTGCTCGGATCAGCACTAATGGTTAATAACTTAATATATGTGGTGTCATTTTCGGCGAAGTTTTGACACGCGGTTAATGGAAGGCCCAAAATTCGGGGTTTTTCGCCGCATCACTACAAGCAATGTCGTCGAAACTTTCGGTGAAAAATTCGCCGAAAATGACACCACCTATTAACCACGAGTGGAAGTTTTCACCAAAACTGCCATATTTCCCTGAATTTTCCCTTTTTTCTTGTTTTTGTTTATTGTGTGTGTCACTGTGTGAGACTGTCGTTTTTTTTGCCAGTTTTTTTTTTTTTTTTTATGTTTGTATTATGAGCCTCTTGCATTGCTTGTTCACGAAATTTTTAACAACATCGCTTGTGGTGATGCGGCGAAAAACCCTGAATTCAGAATTTAAGGCCTTCCATTAACCATGTCTACAGATCAGAACAAATATGGGATGCATAATGCACATACATACCATCCAACTCTGAGGCTCTTTCAGCTGCCTCTGTCCTCTCCCTTTGTGCCTGCTCCAGCCTTTCTTTGAGCTCAGGAACCTGCTGGAAAATAGTCACCCAGTGCCAGTATTGTGCCGGAGGATGAGTAGGGTTACAAAGATAAAAGGCGGAAACAGCACAGCAGCAAAGTATATACAAACAACTCAGCAAAGCATCCCTGTATAAGAAAGGTTTTTTCTTTCCATTCCGGACAGGGGGTAGGGCAGGAGGTATGAGCACTTGGCAGTCATTGGCCTGTTATATCCCGGGTGGGAAGCAAAGAGGAGGACGACAAAGGAGGGGGGGGGGGGGGGGGGGGGGGGAGAGGGGGGAAGGTAGGTAAGGGCTGGAAAAAAAGAGCACATCAGGTTTGAAAGGGACAAAACCAGCCCTGTCAAAGCACATAGCCCATACTTCCTTCCTCCTTGTCTATCACCTATCTGTGAGCCTTTCTATTTGTTCATCGGTCTGTCTCTCTCGTTAACTCTGTCTCTGTCTCTGTCTCTGTCTCTGTCTCTGTCTCTGTCTCTGTCTCTGTCTCTGTCTCT